CACACACACACTGCAAGAAAAAAAACTAATAGGTAATAATGTTATCATGTCGCCCATCCCTCAGAGAGCCGCATGCGCTTGACAGAGGGGCTTTCCCTTTCGTCCGGCGAAGGTCTGGTGAGTCCAATGGGGGAGTGGAATTCATTCCGGTGATCTTCTCGGTCACTTCCATCGTAGGAACTGCTACAGCTGCTCAAACTGTCAACAGGAGATCTCCCCGCCTCATGGCGCGTGTGCTGTGGGTATCTCGAGGGTGTGGTGGTACGGTCTCTAGGAGGAGAAACAGGTTCTGACTTGATGTTGAGGCTTTGAGTAGAAGGCAGGGAGAGATTTGTACTCTGAGATAAATGAGTGCTAGTGCAAGCTCTGTAGGAGGAAAGGAAACCCAGTTACAGACGGAGGAGGCATGGAGCCCCCAGATATGCACAAACACTCACACAAAACACCAGTGTAAAGGCTCGCGCAGGACCAGAGAGCATGAGGACTGTTTTCTGGGCAGAATTCACAAATTCAAAGAGATGAAAGCATCACAACAAATGTGGTCAGCCTGAGTGGCACATGCCCTCGGTTTGAAAGGAGGTCTTGCTTTCAATCTCTCTCTCTCTCTCTCTCCTTTTTTTGACTCAAGTGTCAACAAATTTTGGAAGGCGAGCCTTTGCACTGTTGGAACCACCTGCAGGTTTCTTTATAACTAATGCTTGTGTGTGTGTATGCACCGGCTGAGACAGGGGAGGCATGGACTTTCTGCTGGGATTAATCCAATTAGTTTGAATGCACCCAACTATTTTTATTGCTGTTCATTTTGACATGCAACTTCTAATGCAAAACAGAAACAAAAATTTGGGCCAGGTACATTTTGTACCTTTCAGAATGGAGTTGAAATTACTGGTCCTAGGATTGACACTAAAAAATTACCACAGGCAGACAAGGATTTAGGTACTGTTTTATGGTTTAAATCTATGAATTCATAACTCAATCCAGAATGCTTTTGAATATACTACCAAAGAGAAGCTGAAGAGTAGTGGAAGACGTCAGAGGATTGTACTGTTTGCCTGTAGGAAAGCCCAGCTCAGATGATGCTCCTAGCATCAAGAGAAACTGCTACACTAAAGCTTTTTCAAAGGCAAGCTATATACCTATTCCAAGTTCATTTTCTGTGGTTTTGTGTGGGCAGATAGTGGCAGAGGAAAGCTGAAGCAGGCAGGGAGGAGAGTGAATACTGAGAAGGTGCTTTATCTCTATGGAGAAATGAGATTACTTGCATCTGCAGGATGTTTTGTACAAAAGCACCACCTCCTGGTAAAAACTGACTTTTCTCTTCATTATTAAAATAGAGTTCTCAACATGCAGTTCCCATTATGTTCCACTTCAGGGACCATTTGCTAGGCTGAAGTTAGTGTCTAACCCTAGACAGCTGTGTGGTGTTTAGCTGCCTGCCGGGTTAAACCACAACACACAGTTTCAAGGTTTCTACTCGTAAGTATTTATACAGGGGGAGACTGAAGGCAGTAGGGGCAACATGGGGCAGGCAACTTGGCCTCATAAGATTTTAAACCCAAATGGATGGGCAGGCATTTTTACTACAAGCAGAAGAAATTGGCATTTGGAAGTAATATTTAGGCATGTAGAAGAAAAAACTAACTTTAGATGGGGTCTCTTCATATATTGAAATATTCCACTTTTCCTGATACCTCAACAGGGAGCTAAGCTTTATTTAAGCAACATTTACTACAACTTTGATGAAAGACAAAATGTTTTCTTTTCTTCTGACAGACTTAAAATGGAACTATATGGCTTCAATATTGAATGATATCAGCTGCTTTTATCAGGAATTATTACAGTCTTTAATAATGGATGGATCTTGTTAGAAAACAGGATGTTCTACCTCCAATTGCTTTTATCTACCTTTCATTCCTATACAGATGAATGTGCCAAATTTGCAGAGATCCCTTTCACAAGTCACAGAGTTCATGAGTAATAGCCCTCACGATAGCAGCAAATGCAGGCTTTTTTTTTTTTTTTTACAAAGAGGACATTTTCTTTGCTTTTGTAACTACTAAATTAACACATATAAGAAACTGTAAATATCAGACTTCATCGCTCCAATTTAGTAAAGTATTCCACTCTTCCTGAAAACTTGTTGAAAAGAATCCAACAAGAACCAAAAATACATTTCTGAGGGTTTTTTTTTTTTGTTGTTGTTTTTGTTGGTGGTTTTGGGTTTTTTTTTTGCTTTTCATTTCCAGTGACTTTATTTTTCAGTTGCTTAGGAGATACTAGGACTTCACCTGGGAAAAAAGGCTGCCAGTTCCAGTTTAGCATGTGTGATAAAATTACATGAGATTTTAGATGCCAAGCTTATAGCTAAACCTGAAAGTCCCATAATAAAGGATGGTGGAGCCTGGGGATTGATTTAGAAGTGTTTGATATGAGCAGATGACATGTCACTTTGCAAAGCTGGGGACAGCTAAAAAAACCCATGTTAGTTAAAACCAACCATACTCAGTCAAATTTGTTCACATGGAACATACTTGCATTCTATTGCGTGACAGCCCCCAAAGGAACAAATCTAGAGGTATAAGCTGCATTTTTAATGAAATAGATCTAGTTTTGCTGTACTGCAATGTTGCTTTTTTAATAGTGTTTCAGAAGTGAGTATGAGAATGCATCTCTATAGACTTTTCCTTAGATTCTTTGTGATTCGTCAGCAGGGTTATGTAAATACCTGGCATACAAATTTGTGGTAGTTTTAAAAATGCTACAGGTTGATCTGCATTTTGAATACTTTTTTGTGAATGGAAAAAAGGTTAAGAAGTCATTTTGGCAGGTCAGGACTAAATTTTTGAGGCTTAAAACAATATAAATAATTAAAGGAATTATTTTGAGTCATTAATTTTTTTTTCTTTTTAAATATAGTCTTTTTCTGCTACAATTATTTCTGAATTTTAATATCTGGTTTGGGTGACTCATTTACATTATTTCATTACAATTCTCTGAAACATCTTTACGAGAATCTCATCTAAGCAAAAATGGTCAATTACAAGGGAAATTACTGTTACACATAGATCTGAATGGTGAAATAGTACATACCTAGGTGCAGTCTTTAGACCCATATTCTAAACAAAGGATTAACCTCTATTTAAAATAGAAGCTGTACTATAAAAAATGAGAATTCTGTTGCTACAAAATGATTTCTTCTTGTGCATGCATGTGTGTGACTGTAGAAACAGCTGTTTCAATGTATATCAGCTGTATCAATGTATATTTTACACTGTTGCTTCATATAATTAAGTAATTTTTGTCCAGCCATGCCTTATTTTCATCCTTTGAAACCTACACTAAGTTCACTGGAAAACAAACAGGTTTTGAATATGGAAAATCCACAGAGAAAATAAAGCAAAACACTTCAAAGGATTGCTTATAATTCTAAGAACTCAGTAACTGCCACACAGTCTGCTCATGTTGACGTAATCACCTTTTCCCACATATTGTATGGAAACATTTCATTTTATGGGGACAACAAAGAAAATCAACGTTTTATTTTTACACAGCAGTTCCTATTGAGACCAGTGTAGTGAAAATGTGACATTTATTTAGAATGCAACAGCCACACAGGAGAAATGCTGGTTCCTATCTGGGTTCAACACTGAACAACTACACAGCTCTGTGGTGTAAGAGTAGGGAGGCAAGTCAGGATGCAATGAGCTTGCAAGAGGGTTTAGTCCTTGCTGATGCCAGTGAGATTAGTTCTGTGTGTGTCTCCATCTATTCAAATCTCCAACTGGTAAGGAAGCTCAGCATGCACAGATAGAAGTGCAGGTCTGAGTAGGTGATGAGTGAGGACATGAACACACACCAGATAGGTTTTTACAGAGGCAGAAAGTGATCTATTGAAGGAAGAAAAAGCTTCACATCCCTTTTCTTTTATGCCCACACTTGCTTCTCTAAATTAGTTCACCTCCTCACTTTGTATAATTTTTTTCCCCATAAATATATATAAGGAACCATTGAAAATTCACTGCAAAATTTAGTTATGTAGCTTTAGTTATGTGCTAGTCTATAACTAGGAGAGTAGAGGACATTTTTGAATTGCTAGCAATGAAACCTTCCTCCCTCCCCTCTGTTCTTTCTGGTAAAAGCAAAGTTATTTTTCATATTTTTTGATCAATGTAAAAGCAGAATAAGAATTTCTGTGTCAAGATATTTTGATTAGCTGTCCTGGTTTCGGCTGGGATAGAGTTAATTTTCTTCCTAGTAGCTGGCATAGTGCTGTGTTTTGGATTTAGTAGGAGAAGAATGTTGACAACACACTGATGTTTTTAGTTGTTGCTGAGTACTGCTTATGCCAGTCAAGGACTTTTCAGCTTCCCATGCTCTGCCAGGTGCACAAGAAACTGGGAGGAGGCACAGCCAGAATAGTTGATCCAAACTGGCCAAAGGGCTATTCCATACCATATGCTCATGCTCAGCATAGAAACTGGGGGGGGTTGGCCAGGAGCAGCGATCGCTGCTCAGGAACTGTCTGGGTATCGGTCGGCGGGTGGTGAGCAATTGCATTGTGCATGACTTGCTTTGTATATTGTTATTATTATTATCATTATTACAATGTTATTATTATCATTGCTATTTTACTTTATTTCAGTTATTAAACTGTTCTTATCTCACCCCAGGAGTGTTTCTCACTCTTACTCCTCCGATTCTCTCCCCCATCCCATCGGGGTAGGGGGAGTGAGCGAGCGGCTGCGTGGTGCTTAGCTGCTGGCTGGGGCTAAACCACGACATTAGCTCTCACATGTTAAGGTCTACACTTTAAAAATAAATTTCTAAATAAAGAATAATATGAAACTGAAAAACTTGGAACATCTTGTTTACAATGGTGGCATAAGAAAAAAGGCTCAATCCTAACTATACAAGTCTTTTATTCAAAACAAGGAAGTTGGCAGAACCAATACAAGTTCACAAAACATGATGTTACTGCACCTAAATTTTTCAGTAAAAATGGTTCAATGGAGAATACTTGCCTATATCTAGCTATGGCTATTACCTAATCAAAATTAATCATTGCTAAGTAATAAGCTTGCTATGTAAGAGTCACAGAACAATATGCATAAATTTGGACAATTTTTTGTTCAGGTAGGTAGAAGTTTGGAGATAGTTCTTTTATGTAAACAATTATCTATACCGAAGATTCGTCAGATGAAATATTGTTTCCATGTTTGCACTTCTATTTTAGGAAAGCCAAAATTTCACCTGTGGAAGATACTTCAGGAAGAAAAGATTCTCTCTTAGACTAGGAAATATGGATGAAAGAGAACATTTTCCATATAATGGACTTGTGCCTAAAAAAATTAGATCATTTATTTCAAAGTTTGGAACGGCCTTCCCTTCTGGTTAGCAGCAATTAACTTCTGATAGACTCTTTGGTCCATCTTAAATAAGCCATAACCCTCCCTGTAATGTATTGCTCCATTGCAGCAATATTCAGACAAAATCCCAAAGTTTTGGGAGGGACTGATTTTCAATAGAATTTGTGTGTATTTTTTCCAGATGTAGACCTAGTTAAAAATCCATGAAAGTACTATTTTGCTTTTTAACCTAAAAAGTTGAAAAGTCTGAATTATTTTAATGTCCAAATCATATCAAAACAGGCTCTACATTGTTATCCTATTCACCAGGCTCAGCAAAAGGCTAAAAGCTGCACAGACAGGGAAAGCGAACCACTCCCAAGTCCTCAGGTATCTGCCCTGAAGCCCACTGGCACTAGTATGCTTGCTAATTGCAGAGTCAGCATGAAGAGTTAGGTTGCAGAGATCTCCAATTATCTTAAAGATGGTTCTGACAGTGCTGCTGAAATTGTTAGGGACTTATCTGGAGCAAGCTAATACATCTAACCATACCCTATTCTATGACTAACCATATTCTTCTGCCATGCATTGAGGAAGCAGAGCTGGTTTTCACCTTTAGGCAATGGTGAAAAACAAAACCTGGTGGAGAACTAGGATGTCTCTTCCAGTAACTGTTTTCTCACAGGTCTTTACAGCCTACTGTTACCAACAAACACCTCACAGTTGCCAAATCTTTCCACTATATGACCTCACTCAGCACAGGGATTTGAGTTGTCAAACCCTTTTTAGATGGATTTTCTCAAATACCTGGGGATGACTATAATTTTGTGTGATTAAGTTTTAATCTTTGTGCAAATTCTAGCTCAGGTTGACATGGACTGAATATGTTCTCTATAATTTCCAGTCTTTCAAATAATCCAAAAATTGGTACAGGTGCTTTTGCATGTAGAACTCAGTGACTAAGACAAAATAAAGTAATGCTTATGGTTTTCTGCAGAGATAGAAGACTTCTCTAGAACTGTCAGTGAAGCAGTTTTCATAGCTGAATTCATTTACAAATCACTGAAAGAATAATAATAAAAGTAGCAACTCAGAATGTATTCCACAAGCCAAAACCATTACACTTCGACATTCTGTGATATGAATTAGAAACAGATGACGATGTGTGACATATCTGAAAAGGCATGTAGTTAGTTTAGAATTTAATTTATACTTTTTGGTTAACCAAATAGCCTTATTACATTCTTTGGTACACCACTGCAAACAATAAGCTTATTGTAAGGTTATACATTGACATCTAACGTGAGTTTTCAATTTATTTGAGTCTTTATGTCTTTAGCTGTACAATTAGCCTGAATGTTGCCCCAGAAACAGTGCAAACTCAAAAAGGAAGAACTGTAAGAGAAAGGTATTAAGACTATTTTTTCTAGCACAGCAACTATTTCAGTTGTATGTTTTCATGTAGTTAGTAACTATATATGTTTATTTATATAGAAATGAGGTTTAAAAAAAATCTTTGTTTCCTCTGAAACACTTGTACAGCTGTCCTTTAAAAACACAAACTCTCTGTACATGGTAAAGAAATTACAGTAAGTTACAAAAAGTGGTCAGATAAATTAGAAGGAGAATTTTGAAGTTTAAGCCACATTTGTAGTTTTAAATAGTTTCACATTATGGCAACAATTTTGCAAAAAAATTGGAGCATATGTGCAACACCTTTTTCTTGGGGAAAAAAAAGTTTACTTTTCAAATGCATGTGAATTACATTTCTTCTCATAAATACACTCCAGCTGTTTTCAGCTTCTATTTTTATAATGAAAACTTCTAAAATTCAAACATGTCTAGCCATACCTTAGGCTACGTGTGGTGTGCTGGTGAATGCCTACGGACTTACTCAATAGAAACTGCAGATACCAGGATTTTTTAAAATCATAAAGTTCACTTCAATGAGCCAATAGGTTGCTTTTTCAAGAATGCATTAGGTGACTTCCCTGTGTGAATTTTCACACTTCTAAAAATCCTGAAATTATTTAGCAGTGTGCTTCACCAATCTTGAATATGTCTTGAAATTAGCCACTAGAGGGCACGAATACCTATCCTCCTCAACATAGGCTAATCACAATGAGTTTTGTTGGGCTTATGGTTCTTAGGTCTAATTATGTTATTTGCTTGTAGAAAACATTTCCAAAGAAATGAAACTTGAATGTCAGAGCTGAGCAGAAGGGCGTATGTGATTATTATATAAGGTTAAGGCTTAATCTCAGGTCAAATCACTACATCACTCTTACTTGATTAAAAATATTTAGAACATTTTCAAGTTTCTGCTATAGTAACTGGAAATAAAAAGCATAAATGGCAAAATACATCAACAGCACAATACAAGTGTTTAGTTTCATCTTTAGTAGTGAAATAAAATGCTATTTAAAGAAATAAAGAGTAAAACATGAACAGTAGTCTTTACTACACTATTGAGAAAATGTCATGGACAGCATATTTCATTGTAGCTACCTAGCAAACTTTTCATGAAATATGTAGTTCCAGTTTTGGGAAATGGAGCTTTTACATAAAGTAAATATGTGCTTACATGTTGTCTTGATATAGTTCAGATTTGGGATTACTGGGGAGACTGAAGTTACTGTAGAACAATAAAATAAAGAAAACACTGCTTACCCCAATTGACTGAGGGCAGATGGTGGCATGTTATGTAGGTGTTGCTGTTGCCAGCCAGTCACAGAACCAAGATGAAGAGCACTGGCTGTATTAAACCCAGAGAGAGATGATATATCTGCACTACTCAGAGAATATTCTAGATTTGAAAACAGAAAAGACAATAAATAAAAGGGAATTAAAGAGGAAGCAATTAAACTGTAACTAGCAAAATAATTTTCACATGTCACTTTATAACCCTTTTAATTACTTACACCAATCACATTAAGTTGTAGCAGAAAATGTAGACCTTCCTCTCCCCTCAACTCATTAACGGGAGCAAATAATGCACCAATAATTACTCTGTAATTTAGCAGGGCTTTTCTGGATCTGGAAGATCCAAAGCATTCTTAGCTTGTATAACCACCCTAACTACAGGTGCATTCTCACAGAGTCAAAGACATGAAAAACATAATAATATTTCAGTTACAGTCTTCCTTGCAGAACCCAGCAGGCAGCCTGGTCTGAACAATGTACATCTTCTCTAAGAGCATTGGATCTGTACACCAGCACGCTCTATACAGCAGCAATGTGCAATGGGAACTGGAAAGGATCTCCTGAGGCTTCATTTCTAGTCTCTCCCAGGTAACTCTGTGATAGCCCACAAAGTTACTGAATTCCATTTTGAAGCCAGTGAAGCTGCTTGCTCCCACTACCCTTATGACTTCAGGAAGGTGCACTCAACTACACAAAATTCCTTGTGGTATTAACAGGATTAAGAAATGTCTTTTAAGCTACATTTTTTATTAAAGCAAATGAAAGAAAGCTATCAAAGCAGTTTTCCATTCTAACAAAATAGCTAACTTTTAAATAGATGTCTCAAGTTAGTGACAGATACAGAATAAGTAAATGCAGTGCAAAAGCATATCAGCTATGAATTTTTCAGTTTCTCTCAACAAACATTAGCTAATTCATTAGTACTGAGACACACATTTGTCAGCATCTTGCTCCTTCCCCCACCCTTTACATCCTGCGCCCATACTTACCAGTACCATATGTTGTTGAGATGGCTGATGGGTATCCTCCCATCCCTTGCCCTGGTAGAGTAGGAGTTGCTACGGAAACCACTGGAGTAGCCAATGACTGAGCAGACTGGGAGTTATTTATCCTCTGATTCTTTTAAAGTAAGTAAAATAAACATATTATTGACTAGTTTTAAGCCAGCTGAGTGCATTAGCTTTCTAGGTATGTTTTGTGCATGAGAAACACAAGCTGATACAAATTTCTAGAAATTAATCGTTTAACATGTGGCTTTTATGAACTCTGCCAACCCTATCATTTACAAGCCTTCAAGAGACCAGTTGTCACCATAGTAACCCATCACATCAGTATCTCCTAGGTAACTGAACTAGTAACAAGATTGCTTTTATTGTGGGGAGAAGAACAGATCGTGTGGAGAACTAATGAAATATGTAAACTCTATGGCCATCGTTTTCCTTTCCACTCAAATTAAAAAAAAAAAAAAAGGCAAAAAAATCAAAAGAAAAAACCCCAAACCCAGCCCTACTGGATTTGATGCTTTGAAAGTGAGGGGCACCCTGAGATTGCTGAACACTGAACTCTTACCAGCAGATGGTGCTCTGACTACTTCGGTTTTTGTGCAATAAAACAATCTTCGAGAGCGTTAGGTAGCACAGCAGTTACACGCTTATCTTTAACTCCGCGGCACTAGAAGTTGCACTGTAAAAACTGCACTACAGAACTCTAATCTTGTGAGTGGCAAGATAAAATGACCATAAAGCCACCAAAAAAATGTCATAAGGCTGCACCATCTTCAGCAACACAGGTTTACATGCTCTCAAAGCAACAGCAACAAGAAAGTTTTATTCTAGCATGCATAATTTGAATATGTGCAACAACTGCACCTGGCCTTCCATATTGCTAAATGTCAAAAATTATGATGACCTTTTTGTTCACAAAATAGTTATGGTAAAGTTTTCCATTTTATTTCAACCAACACTTTACCTATGCAAGTATCAATCATACAAAAGAACTGATTTTCTTTTCCTTGTTATTAAGATGAACATCACTACCACTTACCAGAAGCAGATCAACATCCTCAGACTGAGTGCATAGGAAAGGAGCATTAAAAATTAGTGAATATAAATATTTACCAGGATGCAGATTTCTAGCCTAGGGAATAGCTTAATCTGATAGGGGCAGCAAATTAAAGACTTTCTGAGCATAGTTTGGAAAAACAACACGTGATAGATCTCCTCTTTGTCCTTCTAATGGGATGTTTGTTTCAACTGTGAGGACAACCTACCCTGTTTTCAGAACAAGACTTTCTCTAAGAATTCATTATTTCTTCTACAGCCCCAGTGGCTGCAGACTGTGTTACTATACCTGGTTTCAGGAGACCTGACTATTCACAGAATCCCTTGGAAAGTATCAGTTTTAAGGACCTTGGAATAAATCATTTGATGCAGACAGCTTGTCACTGCCTTGGTTGACTTTGAGCATTGCCCTGTAGGAGACTATTTGTTACTTATCCTCTCAGAAGGCAGCATCACATTTATGGAGGGTTTTAGTTTGATGTTCAAAGTTAATTTATTATGCGTCAAGCTGAAGTAGCCAACTTGGAAGTTGTTTTAATAGTGTCTGTTACATAATGAAAAATATGTTTCTAGTGTCACTTAAATTTACCATCAAGATCCTTTTTAAATTAAGCTCACTTTCAATGTCAAATCACTCACGAAACATTGACTTGCAACCACTAGCCGACTTTCAGAAGGGAACTACAAGATATGCACACGACACTTTCATGATTCAACCTTCTAGCATAATAGCCTGCCTGAATTTCTTTAATCCTGGCAGGAGATACAGCAGTTTCATGCTCCTTTTTATCCTGCCCTATATATTTACTTCTTATCATTACAAAATTTGGCCTTCGGAGCGCAGAGCAATAGAGTTCAAATTAATTTATTTGTAGTTAATCTCCCATCTGCTGAGAGTCTGTGTGGCTAAATATTTAAGAAAAACATAGTAGGTTAGGAATACTCAGGGTTAAATTGAGCCTTTATAACAAATCCAGGAAAGGCTCTTCCAGTTACTAGGAAAGCGAGTGCAGAAGTTTAGACTGTGCAGGACACAGTTCCTATTTTGCAACTCAATAGAAAAAAGGGAGGAAGTAAATACGACTTCATAAAAGCAATCGAACAGGCTCTGCCTACATCCTCAGCTAGATATCAAACCTTAAGGTTAGACAGAAAGACCAAACAAGCAAGAATGTGGAATGTTATTCTGCTGATTTTAGTTGCTTGAGCAGGACTTGAAATTCCTAAATATCTCTTAGCTGAAGGAGATAAAAAGAGCTTTGAAAATGCATTACCACTGATGGCATTGTATTCTTGCTGCCAGGTGGAATAAGCACACGGAGATCTGGTTTACGGTTGTTCATTCCCAAATTCATTGGAGGTGGAGATTTTGCTTGCATATTCTTGTTCAAGTTGCCAGGTGAGACCAGCAGACCTGGTGAGTTGCGGGGGTTGCCATATCCATTTCCTGTTTAGGTAAAAAAAAAAAGAAAAGAAAAAGGAGAAAGAATGATTATAAACTCCAAAGTATTTCTTAAGACTGAATACTAAAAATGTCAAATAAAAAAGTTCAAGGCAAAGACCTGTGCCACGTAATGTATTTTTATAGGAAAATACTACACATGCCATATTTGGAACAACTGCTCTTAAAATGCTTTCTCTCATGGCAGCTGACATCTTCGTGGTGTGCTGAAATTAACTTGATTATACGACTCTGTTTACAGTACTACAGTATAAAGCATAATATACTGTGGACTCAAAGCAGCCAAGATCTAACACTTGCCTTACAAGAGAATCAGGAAAGGCAGACAGTCTTATGGCTTAAAAAAATGTCAAAGCTATGCTGTGTTTTCTTGACAACTACAGAGGATTCTGCCTTGCCTGACTCAGCCCTTTCCAGGTCATGATTTTGTTTTGTTTTTAAACAAAGGATGAGTATAGCAAGGCTATAATTTCCAGAACAGGCAAGGGGAGGAATAGGAAGATTCTTAAATGTTTTTGGCTCTCTTTCACCACACTTTTTGGACCTGATTCTGTCAACAGTAAAGTCAATGGGAGCAAGAGCATAACCTTATTTGGAAAATACCACCGCATCTTTCATCTCCATCTCTCTGCTGCTTTCTGCAGGCCCCAGGAATGATTGACAGGCAAATGCTTCATTTGCCTTTTTCAGAAATGGGTTTCCTTCTCTCACCACATAGTACTGACAACTGTATATCCGTAAGGTTACTGACCTACCGTTCCACTAAAAATGAGACCTTCCTATTTCATCCACCTAATTTCACCTCCTACCCACACAAAGTCTGGGGAAAGAGATGACTTTTTAGTGTAGCCTTGAAATTCTGTCTGCCCAGGCTCGAGAGAGAGAGAGAAACTGCCCAGTCATAGAGAGGGAATACCATGAAAACTTGTACAGAAAGAGAAAACTTTCACGGATCAATACCAAGAAAACAAATGCTAGGGGAGACTTTCTGTTCTGTGCTCATCGTTTGTCCACAGCTTGCAAGGTGTGACACACAACATAGAAATAGTGTGGGAAGATGAGGTAGTGAGTGTGGCAGAGCCCTATGAGTTAGAAGCCCTGGACCTTCAAATTTCCTTTGTAGTCCCAAAGTCAGTGAAGAACTCAGTATCTCACTTTTTTCCACATGTGAAAGGGGGTTTACAGCCCTAAAGGACATAAATGGATTATGGAACTACATTTGATAAAGTCTATGAGATGGGCGTAAAAATGACTGTACATGAGAATGAATCTGTCTTCTAGTAAGGATAATGAAGTGTGTCCAAGCATGACTAACATTATATCATGTCTTTAATCTGCAAGCACATGTATTTATCAGATCAGCAAATTCATGGGAAAAAGAAAAAATCTGTCAAAGGCTACTAAATACAAAAACACCACTTCAAGGTCTGGAAGACCCTGAACTGTGAACACTAGGCTTAGGACACAGGAAAAGTATCACAAAGTGCTTGACTTCCATATTTGTGAGGTACTTTTAGTCATAGGTCTGGCCTGGCTTGTTTATTCTCATGCTTTTTATTATCATGATCTCCCATGCCTTTGCAAAAAGGAATTAAGATGAAAACTTAGAAGCACTCAGATCACTTCAGAGATTTTGTATTAAAATATTTTTCATAGTTAATCTTGTTGTTTATTTCCTTAATAATATCTTACAGTTAGTGAGATAAAATGAGTTAATGAAAAAAAGTGTATTTTACACTTATCAAGCTAAAATAGCAGAACACTGTCAAGAATTTTCCATTTTGTGTCAGTAGGCTTTTTTTTTAAAGTGAACAATTGCTCTCAACATGGATTTGCTACATATTATGCTCTAATTAATGCTATGTGTTACTAGAGGCATTGAAATTAGAAGGGGTGTTTTGAATATACAACATTTTCTTCTAGAAACTACAGTGCCTTTTAAAAGTTGAATTTTTACAAACTGAATACTGAAAAACTAATGTCGCGGAGAAGTGATCAACAGAAGAAACTGAAGCAAAAGGAGGGTTTCTCTGGTGCTGGTTTCATACAGGAGCTATTTTACCAACAGGAAGTAAAACTGCCTTGTGAAATCTGTTGTATGACAAGCATTTGTTCAGAGAGTGAAAATGAAGCTGTTTGAAGAAGCAGCATATTTTTTTTTAGTTCTACAATAGGCAGCTTAAGATATTTAACGAAACAGCATGCACTGTAATCTATATGTTTGTTTCTGTAGTTGTGATTTTCAGAGAATAGAAACCCTATGAGAAAGAACTCCCATTTTCTACATAAGATTTACTTAATATAATTTACTATTAAAAATTAAGAGAAAGAATGTATCTGCATAAAACTTTATTCTTCAGAAACTTTTGTCTGACCTTTAAATTATTTACCTACTGATGTAAAATATGTTGAACAGTGATAACACTTCTTACATTTATATTTTTAGAACACCAAATTATTTTTAAGAACTACTGCAATCTTCTCTTTACCAGTAGATTTCTGCTGTTCATGGCATATTATGCCAGCTAGCACTTTGGAGCCATATAATAACCATTCCTCTTTCCAGCCACCAAATTGTTATTCTTTTGGTATAATGTGGCTTCAGGAATGTAAGACTGTGGACCTTAAACCAATGATACAGAAACCCATCATTTGAAAATCAATGATGAATGCATGCGTGCGGTTTACAGTTAAGAAGAGTCTGCATTTAAACCAGCTCTTTAAACTGTATCCTCTTTACTCAGAAAGCTGTGGCCTGCTCTGAGGCAGCTGTCCCACCTCCAGATAAATCCACCGAAGAGAATGGCCTTATTTACATTCAGAGGCAAAAAAAAAATGTATAAGACTTCTAATATACAAATTAAGCCTTCCTTCATCCTATACTTTAAAATTATACTCTGCTTGGACAATTATCAATTTAGATGTGACTGTACGCAGAACATCACATTCCACTATCCACTTGAAAGCCTAAAAATTATATGTCATGTATGAATGGATTTCCTGATTATAGATTATAAGAAAATGAAAAACAGATGGATTTTAGAGCAAGTTGGCTTTACATTTTTATTTGGTTAAACGCCATATTTTTGCTGGAATAGAACATTTTTAAACATCATGGATATAACTTGTAATGCATAATGAAAATAAAAACAGTAGATGCACAAGTTTTAAAGGGCATATGTCAGAATTTGTAAATTTACAGCATTTTCAATTCAAGAAGTTTTCAGAGAAAATTATTTTTCCTCGTGTTGTTTGTTATACTGACTTGAAAGACTAAAAATATTTTACACAGAAAAGAGCTTGTTTCTAGACAGAACTAGTGGAGCAGCACGTGTCATGAAATGCAGTGCCAGACTTTGTATTTGGACTAATGGCAGAATATAAAGACAAATGCTTTCTGAGCATAGAATGCTCTTCCTGGGCATGCTCCCACATTCTGCATTTAGGCACAAGTGCCATTGACTTTAGAAGGAATTCTGTCCAAGTATAGACTGCATGATTAATCCGTGCAATATCACTTTTCAAAAACAGCCAGAAAAGTTATTTCTGTGCACTAGTAGTTAGTCAGTCAAGAAGAATTATTAAAAAAAAATTCATTTACTCATGGATAACTATGATTTGAACTATGTTACAAATTCACATACTACTATCTTAAATGGTCACTTCCATGTTTTAAGAATTTAAGGGTACGAGTAGGGCACAAGTTTATTCAGGACAGGACAGAGAGCAAAGTTTACTTCTCTTGTTTCATCCGCCATTAGTAACACCTGTATGTTACATGTAGTTTTGGTTACTGGTGTCATAGTGGTTGCAAAATGGCTGCAATTCTTGATATTCTCAGAGTTAGGGCAATAATTCTGTACTGAGCACTTAACCCAGGAAGGTTTCCACATGCTAACGTAACACAAATGAGGAAAGAGAAATTTATTTCCACATCTGTCAACATTCTCAAACAGCATTGTCATGATTCAAGTCTTTAAGTCTTGAAAAATTGGAAAATTTTTGTATTTTGATTTCTTTAAGTTTTGAACCCATCATGTCCCTACTTGTTTCTTTTAAATTTGTGATTTCAAAGATACAAAAATATACTGAATAAAAAAACCTCTATGGTAGTCCTAAAAGAATGAAGAACAAGACACACAATTTATATGTCCTTTCTTTGATCTCTCTTTTATTTACTCTAATGTTTTTCACTGACCATATGGGTTGAGAATTTATAAGATCTTTATGAACCTGGGATGCCTACCTCCCATTACTTTTAATAGGAAAAGAGCTTTCAAATTCTCAAAGGACTTTCAATAAATATTAATGGTCATTTCAAGTTTCCAACAAGTGTATGCTCTTCTTGTGGAAATTATTGTAATTCTTCCAAGAAGAATATGCACATTCCATTTAATGAAGGATTCCTGCTTCTTACTGGGTTATGTTAAATGCACATCTCATTTATATGACATTATGACTGACCACCAAGCCTCTCAAAAATAATGTTAAATTTAGAATGAATCTATATAAACGTAGAATCATAGAATAGAATCATAGAATGCTTTGGGTTGGAAGGGACCTTTAGAGGTCATCTAGCCCAACCCCCCTGCAGTGAGCAGGGACAGCTTTAACCACATCAGGTTGCTCTGACCTGCAATGTTGCCAGGGATGGGGCCTCTACCACCTCTCTGGGCAACCTGTGCCAGTGCTTCACCACACTCAGTGTAAAAAACTTCTTTCTAATGTCTAGTCTAAATCTATTCTTCTTTAGTTTAAATCCATGAGAGGCAACTATGCTACAATTTACCTCCACTTCAAAATATACATATATATGAAAAAATATACATATATATATATACACATATATACATACATATATATGAAAGAATCAATGCAGTAATAGAAATTTTGCTAAATTTACATCCAGTTTTGCAGTCTTCACTCAGTTCATTTTGCCACTTTCTGGAGGAATGGTAATTGTTCCTAATAGTAATTAAAAGGCA